AAGATAGTAATTTGTCTGATGTTGATCTAGTTCAAATGTCTATACATGATTTGGATTGTATTAAGAATTCATAATGTTAGCAACATGATTATGTTAATTATTAACAATTTGGAGGTAATTTATATGTTCTTGTTAATGTCGCTAAAGAGAAACATGAGATATCACAAGATAAAAATCTTGGTGATGCTCTCAAGCCTAACTCAGAGATCTAATGAGAACCTTATCTCCCACAAACAATACACAATCCACTGTAGACACTAGTGGAAGCATATTCAATATAATTTCTTAACATTGGTTACTTGTACATATAAAGTACCAACTATGCAAATATGTAATTGTTATAGCTAATTAATTTTTATAGGCATAACTAATTTTTTTATAACTAATTTCTTTATATTTCATTAAGTCTTTCAACAAATTGGTTTTTTTTTTTTACCATGCTAGTATGATTAATTTTTATACTTAACTTTTTTATACAAATTTATGTCTACTGAGCTCCCATACAAAGATACAATACCACAAGCATCTATCTATGCAATAACAAAATTATTACTTTTTAAAAGATATGAGTTATATACTTTAATGTTTTGTTTGATTTATTGTAAAAATTTTAAAATAAAAGTTTCAAATTAATAATTTGAGTTAATAAAAATAAAAGTTCAAGAAATAATAATTAAAATAGTTTTGTTAAAATCCAACTAAATTACCTCTAATTTAAGGATTAAATCAAAATTTCAACAAAACATGAAGACATGTCACACTTCCTTTTAAGAACATATATTCTACTCATTAGAGTTGAATCTCCTTTCATGTTAAATTTATCTTTATCTAAATTCCTTTCTAATAATTGTCTTAATAATAGGTAGCTCATTTCTTGTTAGATTAACCTACAATGCAACCAAGTAAAAATCATGATTTCATATAGCTGAAAATAATCATGCTATGACTTTCAATAAGTAGACTAATGTATTTTTCAACATATATAATAAAAAAAATTGAGAATCACATCAAGTAAGAGGATTATTCTAGAAAATCATTCAGAATGCTTTTCGTAGAGTGCAATTACAAATAAGACTGTGAACTAGTATAAAGGCCTACAACAATTGTCAAACTCTCCCATACAAACTTACAAATGAGACTATCAAAGGTTCTATGCTTGCTGGAATGGACCATGTGACAGTGAATGGTATGGACAAAGAATATATGGTGGAAAAGCGAAGTGACAGAGGTAGTAAGCATTGATTATTAATTAATTAATCAATATAAATATAAAATTGAAAACACGCAAGGAAGGGAACAAAGAGGGAAGCAAAATGCTTGAGAGTGCATATGGACATCTCCATTATCTGAGTACTTTTTTATAAGGAGAGAAACAGAGATACGAATTCTTTACAGTTTTGGCGCAAATATAATCCTATAGTCCAAATTTACTTAAGCAAATGCGAAAACAAGTAATATTCACTTCACTTATCCTTTAAATTTTTTATGCAAATATGACTTGCAGTGCAAATGTGCTTAGGCAAATTTTGCATCGTTTAAGCAAAAATGAATAATATTCGCTTACTAAACAAAACTTGACCTTAAGCAAAATGTTTATAAGACTGTCTTGTAAATGTCTCCACTATATTAGATTTACCAGATAATGAGAACATTAAAATCACAATTGCTTGAAGAGCTAACACAAGATGCGAATCCGCTCCAATCATGCAGAAACTGAAAGCAAAAATCAAAATTTTTTGCAAAAATTGTGGAAGGAGTTACAAAAGGGCATTTCAATAAATTTTGCAGTTACAAATACTTTAGTACTCGCACCTGCCCCATTAATAAGTAAACTAATTTATTTAATTAAAATCTAAATTAATTTAGTTGTCTCTATAGTTTTTTTATATTAATTAATTTGTCATAATTTTAAAACCTTTAATCAAAATCTTATAATTTTAAAATATTTTAATTAAAACCTTAATGATCAATTTCATTATATATTTATTAAATATTAATGGCATGACATTTCTAATTTATTAATTTATTTTTCTATTTTATAATTAATTTTTATCAGTAATTTTCTCTAAATTCTTAAATCTTATTATTGCTAGGTGATAAACAATTTAACACTAAATTGATGACATATCTTTTAAATTATATTTATGTCCACATATTCAATACGCAACAACAAAAATATGATAAACCAAACAACATGAGGGGAAAAAAAGAGAGATTTTGAATCACTCTTAAAATCTTGAAAACTTTTAAAAATTAATTCTACATCATTTTATTAAGTTTTTATACCCATTATATATGAATATTTTATTATTAGAAATTAATAAAAAATAAAAAATATTTTACACTTATCTCTAAACTAAAAATATCATATAATAATAATAATATAATTTATAAATTTTAAAAAGAATATTTATGAAAAATAATTATAAAAAATCCGAAAGCAAAATAAATAGGTTACCAAGTTTTATCGAAAGACCACATCATTTATAGTTACCAAATATATAACAACATTTATTATTGAGATTTTAATTTAAAACAATTTAAAATTGTAAGAAATTAATTAAAAAAATTAAATCATGAAGACCAAATTAAAAATTTAAAGAAACTATAAAAATTAAAAGATTAATTTAAATTTAGTTAAAACTACGAGTCATCCCAAAAGTAAACGAGTATACTCATCTCCCAAGCCCCAGCTATAAATACCCTTAATAAAAAAAAAAAAAAAAAAAAAAAAAAAAAAAAAACTGGATCCTAAAATTCCAAGCTAGTCTACAGAGGCAATTGTGGACTTGACTGCATCTTAATTATTCCCTCAACATATATTTTACATTCAATTTATATACATTTATCATCTTTACATTTAAAATAACGAGCCAGATAAGTTCAAATTAGATGTCAATTTTGACAATTATACTTTTTAATGTTTTTTATAAAAAATTGATAATTCAACAATTAAATCAACTTATAATATTTTAAAGATAATATATATTAAATCTTTTAGACATGTGTAAGTATATTATAAAAAATTTATATTTATTTATATTTTAAAAATAAAATACTCGTTAAAATAAAGTAATGTGATAAAATATTTATTATTTTTATTTTTATGCAATTTTATAAAATTAATCTTAAATTAGTTAATTTTAAATTTTATAAAAAAAATATTAAGTTACAAAAATTTTTAATACGTAATTTCAACGGATCTGAGTCTAAAATAATTTTGAATGTTATTGAAAACTATTATCATTAATTTACGTTGTGGTCTAAAAATATCATCCATAATTTTCTTTTATTATTTAAAATAAATATTATAAAATAAAAATCATGTAGCTTATCCCAAGTACTTCGCTAATTATATCTAATATAAATTAATTTTTCAAAATATATTGATAAATTCTATTCTGATAATATTTTCTCAAATTCATAAATTTCTGAACAAAAATGACTCTGAGTGTTAAATTATGAAATTATCATAAAAAAGAACTCAGAAAACAAAATAAGAATATGCACAAAAAAGTTTATCAACAAATTTTGGAATTAACTTGTGATTTTTCTAATAAATTTAATAGATAAATTTATAATATAAATAATCTTTTAAAAAAATATTGAATAAATATTTAATTAAACTATTTTAAATTAAAAAAAGAAATCAACGTGAATGGCCTGCTGCCGGCGGCCGGCGCCAGGGAAGATACATAGAGATTACAAGTTGCACGTAACAACGAGACAACCACGCCATCAAACCCATAAAATCTGGACCGTCCATTCCAATTGTCTCATTCTTCTGAGCCCTTGGATCACCCAAATGTGTAGGAACTCGTTTTCTAACAGAAAAACCGGTACAACTCCTCTTGTTTCTTTCTTTCTCTTATCCTTCCGATTCTGTCACGTTAAGCTTTCTCTCATTTACGCCTTCAAAATCAAAACCCTTCTCCATTTACGTGCATACATATCATTCCCCTCATTTTCATCCGTCAAAGATTGCCATCATAATGGGTTCCACACATTAATTAATCTTCTTTGATACCCTTCTCTCAGCACACTTGCATGCATGTTCATCCCTCACACTATGTACCAAAACCAAAACCTTCGTTGTTCAACGCGCATTCTAGTATCAATTCCATTGCACCATCAACCTGAGAAGGTACAAACATTGCATGCATTCTTCTTAATCTCTCTCTCTCTCTTTCTGATTTGAAGGAAAAAAATGAATTGGGGTGTTTGAACAATATTTAGATGCAGTTTAAAAAATGTTTTTATATTATTTTCTGTTAAATTTATAATTTTATTCCAGCAACGTGTACGATAAAAGTAAGTATTTTGGTTATGAACTTTTGACAAATGAATAGGATAAAATTTTGATATTGATTAAAAACTATCTAAAGAATAGTGTTAAATTTGGTGTTTTGGGTTTTTGGGGTTCTAAGTTTGTTGTTTTATTTTGATTTGGTTTTGGTTTGTTGTTATATAGATGGTTGGGAGTAGAAGTGGTGTCTAGTGTCAGATGGGAAACAATTGTATTGGATCGAGGACCTATTCTTCCAAGGATGGAGCATCTGGGTCAATTTTTCCACGTTCATTCTGGTGGTCACATAAGAAAGAGGCTTCTAATGCACACAAAGGTGGCAAAAAGAGCAAAAATGCAACAGAAGATGTTCAAAACAAGCCTCCACAGATAGTGAAAATTGACAAGGAGGAGCTGACGGCATCACGTCAACCCAAAGAGACTAAGCAACCACATTCAGAACCAAAAGGGCACGTGGTGGAGGACCCTACAAAGCCAAAGAGGCCCCACAACGTGAAGAGGCTTGCAAGTGCAGGACTCAAAGCAGATTCCGTGTTGCTAAGAAAAACTGGTAACCTTAGGGAGTTTTATAACTTGGGACCAAAGCTTGGACAAGGTCAATTTGGGACCACATTCCTTTGTGTGGAGAAGGCCACTGGGAAAGAGTATGCTTGCAAGTCCATATTGAAGAGGAAGTTACTTACAGAAGAGGATGTGGAGGATGTGAGGAGGGAGATTCAGATAATGCATCACTTGGCAGGGAGTGTTAATGTGATATCCATCAAAGAGGCTTTTGAGGATGGTGTTGCTGTCCATGTTGTGATGGAACTGTGTGTAGGTGGTGAACTTTTTGATAGGATTGTGGAAAGAGGGCATTACACTGAAAGAAAAGCAGCTAAACTTGCAAGGACTATAGTTGGTGTGATTGAGTCTTGCCACTCCCTCGGAGTAATGCATAGGGATCTCAAGCCTGAGAATTTTCTCTTTGTCAGTCAGCAGGAAGACTCTCCTCTTAAGGCAATAGATTTTGGACTCTCTACTTTTTTCAAACCAGGTTTGTCGAAAAAGTTCCTCTTTTTCCCTCCCTTTGTATAATTAACATCTATCTTCCGTTGTTTGCTATATAACCACATGAAATCTTTTTTTGGGCCATTTGTTCTAAATGGTGTACCTTGTGGAACTTGGACATTCCTCTTTGAAAAAGTACCCAAGTGTAACTATATAGAGAATCTCCCGGATTTGGCAAATGCTTGCGTGCATGTGTCCTACCATTGGGATTAGTTCAGATTTTATCACCCGTTTGCTTTGGCAATTAATTTGCTATAGCTTTCTGTGGGTGGAGAAATCTTTTTCTTATTGTGCATAATATGCTAACTAATGGTATGGATCATAATTTTTTCTGTAACATCTAATTGATTGGAATGTTTTTAAGGAAAAAGAGAAACTGAAACCAATATAGCTACATGATTTGATGTGAGAATTTGACTTATAAAACAAGTACTTTTGAACATGGAGAACATTCCTGAAGGGGAAATAATGAGAAATGAGCTCAATCTAGAATTAGGCAAGGTTCCAAGTGCAATTTAGCTAAGCAAAGTTAGATTAGTATATTAAAATGCGAAGAACAACGCTCTTTTTGGATTAGAAAAAAAATCTCTTTTTGTGGAAGTTTGTGTGTAGGTTAAGATGAAGAGGTTTTGTTTTCTCTGCTTCCTGCTATCTTAATGCTTCACTAAATATCATGCATTTGACATAACATAAAATTTTCAGCATTGTTCTACTTATATGATCGCCTTAAGGCTTAAACTTTTGTCACTAACACAGTAACACTCATTTTCAGGTGAAATTTTCAGTGATGTGGTAGGAAGTCCTTATTATGTTGCACCTGAAGTTCTACGCAAACGTTATGGCCCAGAATCAGATGTGTGGAGTGCTGGTGTTATCATATTCATTCTCTTAAGTGGGGTGCCTCCATTTTGGGGTGGTAAGAGTTCATAACCCTACTAGCACATTATGATTCCACCATTTTGGTTTGTTTATATTTCCTTCAAAAGTTTCCTAGTTCTAAATATTTTGACATTTATTTAGTTATTTGATAACAGAATCGGAACACGAGATATTTGAGGCAATTTTGCATCATGAGCTTGATTTCTCATCAGAACCTTGGCCTAGTATATCTGAAAGTGCAAAAGACTTGGTTAGGAAGATGCTTGTTAGAGATCCTAGTAAACGGATAACAGCTTATGATGTTCTTCGTAAGTTTCAATAATGTGATCCAACTGAAATGCCAGTGAAAGAGAAGTTATTAGGCAACATACAACTCATTATCTTGCCACACTTGGCATGTGATCATATATTATATATTTTCTTCTTCAGCATTGCGTTATTTATTTTGTTAAATGCTAAAAGTTTTCTTTTACAAAATTGAATCACTTAAAATGGAAATATTTTAGAAAAGTTATTCATTCAGTTTTTCATAAAAATTCAGTATGTTAAATGTTTTAGTCTTATCCAACACCTTGATGGGATCTTAAATTATTTTGGATGAAAGATTATGCACTGAATTATCAGAATTGTGACTTGTGAATACAAATTATCATAACTTTGTTAAATTTAAGGCGTTCTCTACCACATTGTTAGTAATTATGCGTTGATTCTTTGCAGGTCACCCCTGGATTCAGGTTGATGGAGCAGCTCCAGACAAGCCTCTTGATTCTGCAGTTTTGAGCCGCCTAAAGCAGTTTTCTGCGATGAACAAACTCAAGAAAATGGCTCTTAGAGTAAGTTATATTCTATCACATAATCCAGTATCAGGAGAGTATCAACTTTTACTCTCTTTAGGGATTGATAACCACAGGTTGTGCTATTTTTTCTTTTATTCGCAAAGTTGTCTGTGTCAGCTGATTTATTATAATAAGTTTCAGTGCTCGATGTTGGAAATTTTCTTCGTAGATTGTCAAATTTTGCTCTTTTAAATTTTCTCTGTGGTTCTCTGCAGGTTATTGCAGAGAATCTCTCTGAAGAAGAAATTGCAGGATTGAAAGAAATGTTTAAGATGATAGACACAGACAATAGTGGTCAAATTACTTTTGAAGAACTCAAGGTTGGATTGAAAAATTTTGGTGCTAATCTCAATGAATCCGAAATTTATGACCTTATGAAAGCAGTAAGTATTACTTCAGAATCATCTTTATTTCCTTAACTTTATGAAATCAACATTTTCTCCCTTTCTTCCATTTAGTGGGGCTAGCATAGAATTTCACATATCAATAGTGTTAATTAAGAAGAGACTGTCAAATAGTGTGTTGCATTTCTCACTTATTTTCATATATTGATCAGATCGTGCTATTCTAATACATATATTATAGTAAATGTCAGGCATGGTTACAGATGAGTAACAATTTTTTTATGCCATCAGGACCCAGAGCAATTTATTTTTTTACTGTTTCATTATTTTAATTAATTAAGCTTGAAAATAAGTGTTTTGACTTTTTAGTATCATCTAGTGAGACATTTTTAGTATAATGACAGATTGATAATAAATAATAATTGAAAAAAAAAAGTTAACCAATCTTGTTTTGGATTGCAGGCAGATGTTGATAATAGTGGCACAATTGACTATGGAGAATTCATAGCTGCAACATTGCATTTGAACAAGGTTGACAGGGAAGATCATTTAGTTGCAGCATTCTCATATTTTGATAAAGATGGAAGTGGCTACATTACTCAAGATGAGCTTCAGCAAGCATGTGAAGAATTTGGCATTGGAGATGTCCGCTTGGAGGAAATGATCCGAGAAGCTGATCAGGATAATGTGAGTATATATATTTAATTAAAAGTTTTTTTATATTAACAACTGAAAATCAATACTGTATGTAATACTATGTATAATTATTTTTATCTCTCACTTTTTTTTATCTTTTTAGTATACATGCATTCTAAAAAAAAATATTAAATAAGTAAAGGGGACAACTTTTTAGTTGTTCAAACACTATTTTCGTATATAAATTGATTCTGTTCTGGTTTTCCTCAATATATTGATCACATAATTCTGGACTGCTACAATTAGAATGAGAAGTAAATTAACATCTTCACCATGTTTTTCTCAGCTGTGTAGAGTACATGATTTTGAATTTTCATGGAAAGTGCTAGGTGGCTAATACAATTTTTTAGATTGATATGAAAATAATTTTATGCTATGGTGAAATTCTAATTTCCATTTATCTTATGATGACTTTGTCACTCTCAGGATGGACGAATAGACTACAATGAATTTGTGGCTATGATGCAAAGAGGCAATGCTGATTTGGGTAAGAGGGGTCGAAAGGGTAGCACTAGTTTTAGAATTGGTTTTAGGGAGGCACTACCAGTATGCTAATAAAAAAAATATAGTAGTTAATGAGTTTCTCTTGTTTTACTATAGTAACTTAGCATTTTCTCCTATCTGTGTTGAACTTAATTGGTTTCTCTTGAAGAATTTAAATGGCTTCATTTTCGGTAAAAATGTTGATAGGTAAGCTTCATGGATTTTGCAATGTTATGTACATTATGGATAAAAACATTATTTTGGCAACAGGGTAAATTCTTTTAAGTTCCTATGAAAATGTAATATCTTAAGTACCATTGGATCAACATTTATATATTTGAGAACTCCATCCATCTTCATGGAGTGTAAAATAATTCATGTTTAACATGAAATAGTGACTTGACTATAGAGTTGGTAAAGAGCACTTTTCAATGGGTATTTGTCATGCTTTACAGTACATTTGGGGTTCAAAGTGCTATGATGACTATTCCCTAATCTAAGAAATATCACTGTCTGGATTTTGTTCCTGACAAAGAGTTCTGATTCTAATTAAATTACCAGTAAACTCTTGTATACTTGAAAAATACTACACAATGAAAAATATAATATGCAGATAGCTTATCATACATGTTTTTATATCAATTTATATCTTTTATTTAAAAAATATTAATTTTAAATATATTTATTTAAAATAAAAAAAAATATTTTGTCATTCATTTCAAAACCTTTATTTCTAAACAATCCCTTAAAATTTTGGATTGAATGTGAAATTCAAATAAAGAAATCTCTTTAATATTTTAGAAAAATCTTTAGTTTCAACGTAGTTGAAAGTTTATTTAAATAATCAGTTCAGAATGAATACTAAAAATTGGTAATGTATGGACATAAAAAATTATTTTAAAATCAGTTCACTGCTATATTAAATATGAATGAACAAAGACACATAATCTAATATCTTATATTATTAGATTATGCTCTAACAATGTATTGTAACTGTATATCATGGTATATATCAAGTGAAAACACAGAGTGGCTGCATTACCTTAAAAAAACATGGAGGAGGATTTTACATAAAATGATTCCAGAAAACCTTATGATGAGGACAATGGAACAAACATTGAATTGTAATGAATATAATCCATTTGGGGGCTAAACTATTAGGTTCTGTAAAGCTACATGTTGCCATCTAAATTATCGTTGTCTTCTTTTTGGATTTGTATAATGTCATTTTCTTGAACACCATCACTGGATTGCATTAAGTAAAGGCAGACACTAATTAATTGAGTTTAAATTAGGGGTTGATTAACTCTATAACTAGTAGGTTCTATAATTTTGTATTAAAATTGCAATAATTAATTAATGATTATAATTTCCTATAGATAAGAAAATTGAGAATAATTCACTTCTAAGAATTAGCTTATTCAACACTAATAAAGACAAATATTATAGCTATATTCTTAATCAATATAAATATTTTAACAATATTAAGCACTAAAAAAAATTAATATTATCATTAGCAAGCTCCGTTGATGAACAAATTAAATGGATTCAAATAATAGCGCTCCAAAATCTATTTACTAACAAATTTTTATTTGGTTAGCCTTTTTTAATGATTTTTTAATAAAATTAAATTATTAGTGTAAATATTTTAAATCTAAATTAATAATAATAAAATGTATTTTTATAATAACATGGTGTATTAATAGTATATATTCTTTTTATATAATAGTATCAACTCCATCAATTTGTTCACATAGATCAAATGAATTTTTGAGCGCTCAACCAATTATGAACACAATTAATGTCTCGACATGGTAGAGGAGAAAGTATGCCAAATGGACCCTGTCAAGAAATTGTGAATTGGTCTTTTTCATTATTGAGATATGTTTAAATGAAAGATAAGCTTGTGTATCTTTATGGAAATTTAAAAATTATTACATTCTCAATCTTTTATTTAATTTATGTATAATAAAAATTAAATAATAAATTATAATTTGTTAAAGGTAAGTTAAATGAAAAAGTTAAATCAAGTATAAATTTTTTTAAATTTACACTAATATGAAAAAAATTAAAAAATTTTATTTAAATTTTTAAATTTCTCATACTAGTGTAAAAAATTTACATTTGATCTGAGTCTTTTATTTAATTTATATTTAACAATCAGTAAATTAATAAATTATGACCCATTAAATATAAGTTAAATAAAATATTCAAATTGAGTGTAAGAATTTTTAAATTTAAACTAATGTAAGAAAATTTTGTCCCATCTATACAATAGTTACTCACTTTATAAATATGAATATTTAAAAATTATACAGATATGACTATAAATACAAGTAAAATATAGTATCTATATTTATTTGCTCATATTTTATATTTTTTATCATTAAATATTTTTATAACAAATAAATAAAATTAAAATAATTATATGAAATAATAAATTTAATTTTTTTTATCATGGTATTATTTTATGTTTTACTCTAAACCTTGGATATAAGTACATTAATTTTTATATTTATTATAATTTCTTTCTTAACCAACACCATTTTCTGTTTTTACCCTAAGTCTAAATTTTGATTCTTTTTTTACCATTATATTTTTTATTTTTTTTAAAAATTTTGATAAATAGTATTGTAAATTACAAAATTTAACTTTGATACCTTAACATTAGAAGTTCTCATTGTATTTATGCTTTTGTGTTTATAATAATTCTGTACTATATTTAATGTATTTTCAATTAGCATTTTTATTAGTTTATAAAAAATAAAATAAAATAAAATATTTTAATGAACTAAAGTACAGATAATAAAAGCGGATATAAAAATTCAGGTACCGGGAAGTACAGAACTCTACTCATTATTATTTCTACTTGTATTTTTAAAAAAAATTCTTTTAAACTCGAAGTTCTAACTTTCTTATATTAATTTTGTAAATAACATAATACTATGTTGATAAAATATTCTAACTATTTCAGATATTATTAATTTTAAGTTAGTCCTGTTGGTCTATTTTAAGTAACAGGGTTATTAATTTGACATGAATTTTATATGGAATATTTTTTCAACTGTAATTCAATTCCTTTCAATTTTACAAATTATATGATTAATTCAACTCGTGTGTACGATCGCGAGTAAAAGAAAAATATATACTTGTCTTAAACTTATGTCAATTTCAATTTTAAGTTATAGTTTAACTCAGTCAATTGATGAACTAAGTTCACTAAGTTAATTAATAAATGTAATCTTCAACGAATCTAAATTGCTCTGGTTGCATATTCAAATTAATTTAGTATACAAATTAAAATGTTTAAATAGGCTTCAATTTTCAGTATTGTTTTAGTAGAAAATTAGGTTAAAAATTAAAATAGTCATTCTTGAAAAAAATGTCTAGTTTATCTTACTCCATTTCCATGCTTGTCTACCTAATAAACAAGGGGATTCGGGTTGCAAAGAACTATAAAAAAAAAAGTATATTGAATTTATATTTTCTTATAACAGAAAATTCCAATAATCTTTAAATAATAAAGTAGAGAGGAACCCTTTTTAGCCTAGTTTTTTTTTGTGCTTTTGGAAAAAAAAGTATTTGAGAAGATATCATACTACAAATAATTTGCTATTACTAGAATTATTTTTATTGCAGGTCTTTCCTGCATTATTATTTTTATTTTTGAGAATGCGTGCATTATATGAAGTTAATATAATCATGAAAGGCAGTGGATATCACCATTTACCAAATGTGTGAATATGATTTTACAGGAAACTTGAGAGATAACATAATATCCCCTTTTAGATTATTCAAAGACATGGGTTGATTCTATTTGCACACAAACTCTTTAATTAAGTGGGGTATCTAATCAACCGATTAGGAGTAATATTTTGTTGATGCCTCAATTTTGCCTTTAAAGATTTAATTGATCGGTGAGTATCATCCATCACTTGCCCAACTTCCAATTTCGTATTGCAATCACAATTAATGAGAATTTACCTCATTAATCCATTTTTTCAAATACTAAAAATGTACTTAAATATTCTTTTTTTTTTAAGTATTTACTACGGCATTTCTAACTTTGAGGACATAGAATAATCTTTCTAAAATATTTATATATATTTTTAAATAGATTACTAACTCTATTATTAAAATTAACTGTCATATACTTAATTTTCAGAGCAAAATAGAATTTACTTTTTTTAAATAATAAATATAATTATTATAACATCTCTCTTCCACGCAATGTCATTTTTATTTCATTTTCTTTCATTCTTTCTCTAGGTAGTGTGTTTAACTATACTATTCAACGTTGTATTATAAAACACCGGTGTCTTGTAAATTTATTTAGGAGGTATGTGATTTGCATGATGAGAAGGATCACTTATTAGAATGTCAAGAAAGAAAAAATTGAAAGGGTTATTCTAACCTTTGAAGAAAGCGTGGACGCCTATGAAAAACACTGCGAAGCCAAACGTTTGATCTTTCAAAAAACATTACAGGTTAAATATTTTTTTCATTGTTATGACTACTAACTTCAAGAAAACAAAACTCACCGAACAAATAATCTATTCATATTAATATACTGTTTTTCTTTTCCTTTTCAAAATACTTTTAAGAAACTCTGTAAAATAAAAGTAACACTTTTAACGGAGGAAAGGACAAAAAAGATTACAAAAAGTAGTTTATACTAAAAATATATAATAGAATAAAATAGGAATGGTTGTCACAAACAACACAAACCTTAAGCACGATACCACGAAAATCAACATTCATAACGCGCATTAAATAATCTAAAAAAGTTGAATATAATACGATTCGACCCCCAAAGAACTATTAATATACATAAGTAATGAAGAACTCAACGTCATGAATATAAATTGAATTAAACTGTGTAATTATTAGCATTATTTGGCAAAATAAAGTGATATGTTACTGTTTTATTGCGTATTTTATTGTGGCCCACTCGACAGCCTTAAGAAAACCATTGTTATTAAATTTCTTTTTGGGTCACAGTTGGCAAGTTTCTGTGGTTTACTCAAAAATTATGTAAACTTATTTTCGCTAAGTATTTTGATTTATCAATAGGCAGTTGATTCAAGCATTATATGTGTCTAATATTTTACAAGTTTAAATC